GGAATGGAAGGGAAAAAAAAAAAGGTTGTAAATATTTCCCCCCCGCTGTAAGGCCCGTCCCGTTCCCTGGGGAGCACAGGCTGTTCTGTGGAAAGCACTTTCCGTTACCCGCGTTTATGCTGGCGTCTTCTGTCAGCGCGGTTGTGTGGGAATTCCCCGCCCCGATTTGGCAAGCGAAATTTTAAAGTGCGAATTAAGTCAAAGGCAATTCCCATACTGCAGTATCTTCATTAGGGAAAGCTCCATGCGCTAGCTGCGTTAATGAAAATAATTGTTCAAGGGAAGGCTCAGGGCCAGCTTGTTTGCAAATTCTGTGGAGTTTGCCTAACGTTAAAATTCCATAACTGCTCTCTGAAATTTCTGTAAGAAGGGACCGCAGATGACTTGTATGCAGTTTACTGTAACTTTATATTAAGTGAAATTCCCAGAAGTGATATTCTTTCAAATGGTTTTAATGTCTTTTTTTTTCTTTCTTTCTTTTCTAGGTGTTTGTTTCAGGATGGTAAGGCCATGTCTGATTTACCAGTTCTACTTTTACAGTATAGTATTTCCAGTGCTAAAAATATGGCAGCAGGTCTGTAGAGTATAAACATACCTAACTCCTGTTTCGAGTTCTAGGTTAGATTGGTTATGTATTGCAAGTGGATTTAAAAAGGGAAAAAAAAAAAGTTTTGTATTACTGTTATATTAAAATGGATTTTTAAAAGCTTACTGATGTGTTGCCTATTTGTATAGCATCTAAAGATTGTGTTTGGATTACTTGTGGTAAAACAGCCACAAGAGTGTTTTAACATGTGAATCTTTACAAAGGTTAAATCTGAGGATCTTGATACTAGCTTCTGAAACTGTGTTCCAGTTCAATTTTTTTAATGGCAATTTTAGTACCAGTATTTAAAGAAGCTTATTGTGTTTCCGTGTTACAGTGTGCTACAAATAGGCAGTCCATGGCTCATACCCCAGTCAAATGTCTCCTCCAGCTCTGAACATGCAGCAGGTAGCTTTGTGTTTCACAGAAATCCAGGAAACAAGAGGACACATTTCAAATAAAAATGGGTTTTTGTGTGAAGATAGTGGGCCATGCTTAATATTAGACTTAGAAGTTTTTATGCGTAGTAGTTTATATGTATTGTGAAATACCCATTTCAATTTTACGCTAAGAGGATTACAATATAGTATGTCTTGAGTTTAATTATTTTACCTAGTGGAAAGTGTATGTCTGCACAATATGTGATGGGCAGGTGTGAGCTTGCTCTACTTTGGTTTGAGCTGACCTGGAGCCATGTGAGCACACACCAGTCCTGAGCTAATAGTCCTATAATAATATAATAACAATAGCTATTAGTCCTGAGCTAAAAAGTATTGAGAAACAGGTTGTCAGCTGCATTCCCATGCTTTTGGACAAGTTTGCGTGGAGAAGCTGCTTAGAATCAACTTGAAAAATACCCTTCATAGTTAGAAATGCCTTTTCATTGCCTAGATTATCCCCAAATTTGTTTTGTCTTTTGGAATGTAGTCATATTGACCTGCAGTTTGGCTGTTGGCATTAGAATAAACGTCTAAAGAGGCTGGTAGTGCAGTGTGCACATTTAATGTCTGTGTACTGTCTTGGGTATTACTGTACATACTCTAAAATGGTGGCTATTTTTCACCAAAATGTATTGAAAACTCTCAGACCTTATTGCTAGAGCCATCAGTCTGCTGATGTTCTATAATACAAGATAAAAACATGGGCCATGTAGTCTTATACCTCTTTACTAAATGTGCAAGAAGCAAAACAGAGGAGGTACCTTTCATGTAAGTAAATTTGCTATTAATGAAACGAAGTACTGTGTATTGGCTAATAGTGGGTTTTGTCCTACATGGAAAAAAAATGTAATGGATTTCTGCAAAACAGGCTTTCTGTTCCCTACCATTTCAGTGTTCAATTGTGAAAACAGTGCATGTATTTCATGTGTACATGAAAGATAGAAAATGAGAAAGCGTAGAAAAATCCCTCAAAAACCAGAGTACTTGGAAATTCCTGATTTCGTCACAAGAAGTGAGTAGCTGGGAAACCATAATTTGTGGTATTGCAAAAATACTAGAGAAAGAGTATTATTAGATTATAACCTTTGCTGCTGTTTGTTAGTAGTAATGCAGCAGCTGGGGGTAGAATTTAAGGGGTGAAAGTCAGGTGGAAAGGATTTAAAATGAAACTGGAGAAAAGAAGCTATGAAGTTTGTACATGTAGCGAATTTAATGAGTTTAGATGGTGATTGCAAATGAGCAGTGATAGGAGCTATAGAAAAGAATAGAGTAGGTAGAAAGGAGTGGTATGGGATTAGTAGAGTCCTTTGTGATCAAAAATTGTGTTAAAAGTTCCTGAAATAAGGCGAGTGAGTCTTTGGCCTCTCTGTGAAAGAAAAAAAGCCTCACACCATCAGAAGGTTTCTATGCATATACGTATGATAAAGCAAAGAAAGACGATAACTTTTCTTGCCACTGGTGTAATGTCTTGGTGGGAGCCGTCGTATGTATAGCACTTTTGAAGAAAGATATTAAAAGCTGTGAAAATGGAAGTGGAAATGAATATGCATTTGTTATGTATATGTAAAATCTCATTCTTGTTCAAAAGTTGGCTTCTTCTGCTGCAACTTCAGAGCTGACAGGAATATCTTAATGCCTGAGTATGAGCTCATCCTATGGATTTTTTTTTTTTAGTGTAGGTCTTAAAGCTATGAAAATGCAAGTGCAGTTTTAAGTAGTATATATGTGGTATATGTCCTGACACTGATTGTCCTCTTTCATTATTTTTCAAATCAGTACACAGAAGAAGAAGCTAGGAAATTAGGAGTGGTTGGCTGGGTTAAAAATACCAGTCAAGGAACTGTAACGGGCCAAGTTCAGGGCCCAGAAGATAAAGTAAATGCAATGTAAGTATTTTTTTGGTTTTTTGTCTTAAAGTAATTTACAGAAACACTTCTAATCCAAAGTGACAAGTAGTTTCACATGTCAGTAATGTAACTGTACTTTCAATAATCAGTTTTGGTTTTGAGGAGTTGAGGAGAGGTACATTCTTTTAAGCTGTAGAAAAGTCCTTAAGCTTTAAAAATAGTGTGTGGTATCAGCCAGCTTTAATTTACAATGTCACACTGTCAGTGTATTTCCCTATCCTATTCTTTGTGTGAAATGAAGAAGGTATCAGCCAGCTTTAATTTACAATGTCACACTATCCTATTCTTTGTGTGAAATGAAGACATAGCCTATATTCATGCACTTCGATCGTAGATCTGTTTTTTAATTCTTTAAAACATCTCTGTAAGGAAACAGACTGAAGAACTTGAAATGCTTGCTCAGCCTGTGCTTAAATCAATTCAAAGGAAACTGGGTTTAAATAAGGTTTTTTCTGGTTTCAAAAAAAATAATATATTAACACCCACTTCAGCAAAGGCCTGCAGTCTCTACTATCTGGAAATGAATTTTGAAATATTTTGGTGTCTTTAAAAGAATGGGTATGATTTTCTTGAATAAACTGCCAATTTCCAAATGCTTGCAGCTATCACTCCGAGGAAATGATGCCTGGAAAAACAAAGCCTAATTCAGTCGCTTCCAACTATCATTTTTTGCAAGTGTATGTAGGGAGATTAGGAGTTTTTAAAAATCCTTCAGTGGTTTGTTCTTTCAACAAAGGATGAGCGATGGTAAAACTTTCCTTTGTAAGCTTTATTATGGATGAACAATTAGTGCAAATTCTTCCAGCACTTTCCAATACAGGAATTACTTCAAAATGGAACCTGGATTAAGTGAAGCTGCCTTTTTGCACAAAAAAGTGTTACACTTCCTGGTAAAAGAGATTTATGTATGCTTATCTAATGTGACAGAAGTATTTGTAGTAATTTTCTTTAGTCTTGAGCGTAATGTTAGGTTGCTTATTCTTGGGCTGCGAAATGTTTACAAAGCCAGAGAAACATCAGTTGTTTGTTTCCTAGGTCAAGTTTTATACTTATTTTCTGGAAGACTCTCGTTAATAGCCTGATTTAAGTATTTTGTAAATTTAGTATCTTGGTGCCATTTCTCTAGTTAATTTAAAACACTGAAAGCAAGTGTATGAGAAATCAGGATTTGTTTTTTATTTGTTGGAGTACTTTTATAATTTAAAAATTTCTAGTCAGTTGACTTAGTCTCATTAAGCGGGTTTAAGTTAGCTCCTGATGATTCATGTGTTTGCATGAACTAGGATTGCTGCAGAATGCAGTGTTTTTGTCCATACTTCTCCCTTTCCTCTTTCAATGGGATTTAAAGGAAATGATGCTTACCCCAACACCAGAAAGTTTGTGTGTAATAGGGGATCTGGCAGTAGAACAGCAAAATTAGACTAACAAAGCTAGGCTTATTCTCAAAGATGTGTTGGCATACAGGCTAATTCCAAAAGGAAATAAAAGGGGTTTTTTCATTGGTATGCAATTTTGAGTGGGGTAAGCAAGCTGGATTGTGACCAAAAGAAGTTAAAGCTTTTGATGTACACTGTGTTTGCTATTCAGAGCAAATAAAAAGTTGTTTTGAGTTGCCACATCTTCATTTCACACTGGAAATGAATGTTTTTCTCTGATGTGGGAATTATGTTGCAATGCTGGAGTTGAAGTATCATTTTGAAGTAAGCATTGAGATACAGATATTAAGTACAGGTTATTAAATTGGAGATCCTAGAGTGGAATGCTGAGGGAGAGGCGGTTCGCTTTGTGTTCCCTGTGTGTGCTCCCATATACCAAAAAGGTAGTGAGTTTATTTTTGGTGTTAAATTGGTGAACTTGCACATGAGAAGGGAGGTATTGTATGAGAACAGCTACTTTGAAAGGCCCTTATTTCTCTCTGCTAATATGTGTTAATAGAAGATCAAAACAGGTTTGAGTTTTGGAAGTTTTTTCCAGAGCTTACAGCATTTTTTATAATGCTCAGTCATGGTTCCCAGGAGTTCATAATACTATGTTCTAGATTCAAGGGTTATTTAAAATGCTGTATTAAATAAAAACAAAATGAGGCTTGCTTCTGCTGTGGCAAATTAATGAAAACCAGTAATCCTAAATGTACATTGGTATTAAAGCTGTGATAAATACTCAGGAGGAAATCCTGGCATCAACTCCCTATGCAAGCTCTGGTTTGTATTTGCTTGATATTTAGAGCTTATGTATGACACTACTTAAAAATTTGGAATCTTTTATGTTCAAAGAAATTGAATGCTTTTCAGAGAAATACAGTACATAAATCAATATTGTAAGATATTTCAAGGAATGTTCCTGGTGAGTGCTATTTCAAATATTGGAACAATGTGTTACCTTTGGAAATCTTTCAAGGATAGTTTGTGCAGTGTCTTTTGGTCAGGTATTTTCACATTTGCGTAAGTTTCCAAATTAAACTTTAGGTACAAAATAGCCTGGTTTTCAGAGGTGCAGCACTTGGGCTTTTAAAAGCCACGTAAATTTACTTAATGAATAAAAGGGACAAAATTTCACAAGATATTATAATGAAAACCCCTGTAACAAGTCTTCATGAAAAAAAGGTAATGGTAATGAAATGGTTTGTCAGCTGTCTTACTGGTTCTGGCTTGTTAAGGTTAGTATTTTTTAGGGGGAGGTGGAAGGGGTGTTTTGGTGTAACAAATGATGTTTCTCTTTTCACGATGCTAAATAGAATCAAGAACATGAACTAAAAAGAGAGTAGGGATGTCATTAGAAAGTACAGTTCTAGAACAGGTAAATAGAAGAAGCAATGTGGGAGGGAGGAAAAGAGGGATAAGGGTTTGAGAGGAGGATAAAGATAGGGGAAGTATAAAAATTGTGGGAAAAACACTGTGAGGCAATTCAATGTTACCAGAAGCATGGAGTGAATAACAAAGCATGCCTTTGTTCCGGGGCAGTAATGCGGCAAACCTCGAACCCAACGGTTTTCCAGCTGCAGTCCTTTGCTCCTGATTTTCTGACCTTTTTTATTCTATTTTGTATTGCTACTTGTATTGTGAGGCACAGCTAGGAAGCATCCAGTACCGGCTCAAGAAACAATGCCTGTATATGATTTATTTTTATGCAGGCTGCAAGGTAAAATATAATCTGGGAAGAATTATGAGGGCGGTCCTAGTGATCTATTTTAAGCATTATTATAATGTAAGTTTGGAGTTTAGATGGAGAGTGCCCAGAACCAGTATAAAGTGGAGAAAATAAGATTTAAAGCAGGAGAGTTAGAGGTGTGACTGTCTACCCATACTTAAAACTCTCCAGTAACGTGAGAGCATGTTAGAGAAGATCTATTTTGAAAATCAGTTGGCCAGGTAACTGATGATCTTTGGAGAGACACGGGTAGTCAAATACAACTTTATTGCATTAGCACGGAGGGATTGGGTGTGGGAAGGCAGCCAGAGGCTATGTATCTACTGCTGCAGATGCAGCACAGCCGGGTGTTTGCTGATGTGGGCTGTGGGCTTGGTTCTTTCCCATCCCGCTGGGAAAAATAACTGGCCTCTTTTACCTGAGCTTGGTGTAATTTCTAAAGCAGTGTGCTGAAGCCTGGATTTTGTCCTAAAATGTGGAAGTAATTGTTTCCCTGCAGACATAAAATCTGGTTATGATTAATTACTTTGAAAGATGACATGCAAAATAGTTTGCTCTGAAGCATGTTAACAACTTAGCAGGGGCGTTCTGAATCTTGTGGAAATAAGTAGAAAATGATAGGTAAGCATGAAGGATTGGGGCCTGAAAAACATTGCATGTGCAAGAAGTTGTATTCCTTATTGGACCATTTACTTGGTGTTGAAGATGGATATAAATTTTTATTGAAGTGGTGCTGGGAGGCTGACTTTGATTTTTACTCTGTGGTGGTGAAATCTTGATCACACTGAAAACTGGCAAAATTTACTGACTTCCCCGAGGCTAGGATTTCAGTGTGAATTTCACTGAAATGTAAAAAGCTGAAGGCATGACTGAGCAGTTTTTGATTTTTAGGTATTTTATTCAAGATTTGTTTTCAGTTTGGTTTTAATGAAAATCTTCTAGATTCTCAAAGATCAGGTGACTTGCATAATGTATTTTGAAGCCTTTTTAAAAATTTTAATTGGGAGATCTTGCAGACCATTTTAGAGGTATTTCTAAGAAGTCTTGAGAGCCTCTTGCCTGCAAGCTTGCTTTAATGTCCTTTGCTTTTTAACCTCTAGATGGAGCCATTTGTTCTGTAGATACTTTCAACTATACAGGCTTCATTTGAAGTGAATCTATTTTTAGACTGTTATGGTAGAATCCATCTTTTTTTCTTCACTACCTTTTTCCCTACTGTATTTTATAGTTGTGTTCTGTTTGCTGCTACTGCTCCACATAGATAACACCCATTATCCTTACATACTAAAAGCTTATTTTCAGTCTTTTACCTGTCTGCAAGCCAAAGAATACTAAAGTCGCAAGAGCAGCAGTCACAGCATTTCTAAAACATGATGACACAAGGTTTTATGATAAACAGAAGGCTTTTTTGCCAGCCCAGATATCATTAAATGGGGTAGGGGGGGTAGCCCTTTGGTTTCTTTTTTTCAGGAAGACTTATAGTACAGGGGTTTTCATTATAGTATCTTGTGATATTTTTTCTATTTTATTCACTAAGGTTAGAGCCTTCGTAGTTACTGTGGTTGTTGCCATAGCAACTTGCATTGACAGGCTAGAAATTGCTTTCCTAGGAGAATTTTTTGAACTTTGAATGATGACATATTACTTAGCTATCCATTAAAAAAGGAAGATAAGGCTCTTACAGATTACCAAGTTGAGAATTTATTCCAAAAGTCAAAGATTTCAAATCAGGCTAAAACTTTAAAATATAAGATCTTAGGATGTTTTTTAGACACAACAGCATAGTAAGTATTCTTCCTGTCTTTGTAGAAAGGCATGGTATTAATTATAGA